CTTCCAACCGCTGCATGAGGGCGAAATTTCTGCGGACTCTTCCTTTCCTTCCTTCTTTCCTTCCCAACAACAATAACACGTATTTATTTATTGGTGATAGTATTTGAATACGACAAATGAATCAACATAGAACAACTTCACCTGCTTCGGCAGGTGCCGTTTGCGACGTTTCATCCTCTTGAAACGTTCATCAGATCGTCACCGTAGCTGACGGTTTTGGTCTTGGAGCTGACGGATACGGCCTTGGAGCTCACGGACCTGTTGCTGATGCAACCGAAGTGGAACAGTTTGTTCCACTACTAAGGGTGGCCGGATTACTAAAAAAAACGTTTAGTTTTAGTTTTCGCAGCACGGGAATGCCAAAAAGAACGTACTAGAATTATATAATTCGGAAATATTCCGTAATATGTTGAAATAATTTGGAATAAGCGCCAACGTATATGTCAACAAATATGCTGTACTGTTCACAGAAACATTAAATTTTCAATTTGTCGGCACCGAAACATTTCAATATTTTTGTGAATATATTACTTTTCCGGACACACCTAGTTGTGTAAGGTAAAGTATTGGAATCGGTCGAAAAATTAACACACATAAAAAATGTGTTTTCTGTGTGTTTTTGGGGCCAGTGACGCTGTACGCAAAAATTTGTTAACACGATAAGTTTCAAAGAAGAAAAGTAATTCAAAATCTGACTTCACGAATATGATTATAGTTTTACGATAAGAATAACTTTCGACACACTTTTCATACAAAAATTTCGAAAAAATTGGATTTTTGTATGGAAGCCATGCTTGTATGATATCGTAATGAGCTGAAAGTTTGCACAGGCTATTTTTATCACACAAAAATACCATTCCGAGGGTTTGAAGAGATTTCAATGCATAATGGGGATACCTCCCGAACAAAATTTTGGTTTTTTTGCTCAAAAACGAAAATTTTGTATGAAAGGTACCACTCAATTGTATTGAAATTTCTTCAAACTTTCAGAACATCTGCAAATTTTCACATGATAACGATTTCATACAAGCATTGAAAAGTCTATCAAAAATTGTTTGTATCGCTAAACTACAGATTTACCAGCATTGAAATTGTAATGTTAACATTAACTATTAATGTAATGCTAACATCTAACGTTACAATTTCAATAGCTAATACCGATAATGTCTTGTTACAATAACAATGTCTTACCCGTATTGTTAAAAATCTAACATTAATACTGAGACTTCTCAACACAACTTTAAGTTGAAAATATATTTACAATAGATGGAGTTTGTGTCTGCTCTAAGCTCAGCATTGAAATATATTTCCAACTTAAAGTTGTATTGAAAAGTCTTATTATTAATGTTAGATTTTTGACATTAGCGGCAGCGTTGAGTAACACATTATTATTGTAACGAAGCATTGCCAGTAATGTTATGAGAATAGCAAAAGCTATTACTGGTAATGCTAGAATCTAACGTTACAATTGTAATGAAGTTACTGTAATGCTTCGTTACAATTGTAATGTGTTACTGCAAAATGTAAATCTGTACGCTAAACTAATGTCAGATCGTGTCAGATTCAGTTTTCTCGTGAATTCAAAGAAGCCATAAGAAAACCATAGATTTGTTGCCTAAAACGATAAAAAATAAAATTCACATATAGTTGGCGCTGCATTCTATGCAAACTTGTTTTCCATTGCAACGGACTAAGTGGAAAGTATACACTTATTACATAGAATGTAGCGCCAACTATATGTGAATTTTATTTTTTATCATTTTAGGCAGTAATTTTATCGCGTCTTCAAGTAAAAGATATGTAATAAATGCATGTTGTGGATCACAGTGCGGAAAAGTTCATCTTACGGATGTAAGACATTTTATTGTTGACGCTTCATTTCAGCGCCTGACGTCAGTAATTGTAATTTCATTTGTTTTTTGTTTCAAAATTAGCATGCAGTCAATTTCCCACAGTTCAACGAGTAACATCATATTTTGGCAGAAGAGGGTGAATACCCCTGGATGGTGAAATTGATTGATATTTTTAATTTATTTTCGAAAAATTAAATAAATTTTACTTTTTTTAGGCTGCTATAGGTTACAACGTAAATTTGAAAATAAGTTTTGGATGCGGTGGTACCATAATATCGGAGCGCTATGTAATGACGGCTGCACATTGTGTAAAAGCAGGACGTCCATCGCTATTGGTGCGATTGGGAAAAGTGAGTTCATATACACAGTCCATTTGAAGTGCTTTGTTCGAAAAAAAAATTAAATTTTTTTTTCGAAATAGGTGGATCTTACCGAATCTCACTCAAATTACAAAATAGATTATTATAAGTAATACCGATTAAAAATTTATTGTATAACACAATTTTTTTTTTAAATTGTTATTTTCACTTATCTCTTCAGAATTTCACACGACATCCAAATTATTCGATGAGAACGAATAAGAACGATATTGCATTGCTCCGACTCACAAATAAGATTTCGTTCAACAATAACATTAGACCGGCATGCTTGCACACAGATATGGGTGATATCGTTAATCGAACAAAACTAATTGTGACCGGCTGGGGCATCACTATTACCCCCCTCCCCCTGTGATTTGGATGAGAAATTTTTTTTCGCGAAAATTATTCGAATTTGCTAGAGTTTTTGATTGTAAAAGTGAAGACTTTTTTTTTAGCTCATCAAAGTAGAAAATTGAGGAGAATTCTTTCAATTTCCTAGGTTTTTTGGTTCAGAGTGAATTTTTTCTGATTTGCTTGGGTTTTTCGCGGAGAAAATCGATTTGCTAGGGATTTTCGCCTCAAAAAGTGACTTCCCAAAAAAAAAAAAAACGAAAATGTGTCTGATTTGCTAGAGAAATTTTTGGTTCCGAAAAACCACCCCCCCCTGAAAAATTTAAGATATATAAAAGATATGAGTTCAAGTGAGCGTTCGAAACGAATTTATCGAGTAATTTACAAAATATTTCTTTATTTTGACATAAAAAACAATGAACTTTTTTTAAAATTAAAATGAAAACAAAAGAAAAAATGTTTCAAAGTTTTTAAAATTCTAACAATAAATTTTCTCCTGCGGACCGTAATCCATAATACACAAATTGAAAATAAATTCAAAGAATGAAATACGCTTTTCTGTTGATTTAAGTTTTTCTGCTTTAAATATTTGCCAATGTATTGGTGATCGTACATAGCTAGACATGAAGCTCTAATTTAAAGGATTTCATCAACAACATCACCGACTATAATTAAAAAAAATTATTTAAGAAACTTTTACAGTCAGAGTAGGAAGGAACAGAACGAAAATATTCAATGAACCTGAGACGATGACGTCACCAACGACACCACCTCCTGATGAACCTGAGCCGAAGAGGCCACTGAAGTAACGATTACGCCCTATTTGAATTGAAAAAATGTATTTATTTATTGAGAAACTTATACTTCTCGAATAGAAAGGAACAGTCTTTGTAAGAAAAAATTATTCAATGTACCTGAGCCGGGTAGTTGAGCAACGGAGCCTAAAATTTAGAAGATTTGTTTAAGAAACTCATACCGCTCGAACAGAAAGGAACATAATTTGTTTGTGAAAAAATATCCTATCTACCTGTTCCCAATATATCACATATAAATGAACCTGTTATAATTTCGAAAATTTATTTGGAAAAATTATACCGAATAGAAAGAAAGTCTTTGTTTATAAAAAAATTGTTCAACAATTCTGTTGGTGAATAGCACATGTGAACCGTTGCGAAACAAAGATCCCTTCAGGAAAGTTGAGAAGAAATCTTCAACTTAAACTGGAATTTGAATCAAAGGACTATATATACGATTTGAGAATTAGAGAACAACAGAATGAAAAAAATCGTATTCCTTATCATACAAATCATGATCTGGACTTTTTTCACTGTTTGAGTGTTCTATACAGAGTCTCCGAGAGTTTCATATCAACTTACCTTCTGTAAGCACCTATTGAATAGTGAGGAAATTGGCATTTCGGGCAACAGGCTCGAAATTAGTAAGCACCAGTGAAACATTTCGTAACAAACTTCATCATAACTTATGCTGCAGTTTGTTTCTCAATATTTCATTGTTGTTCTCTAATTCTCAAGTCGTATATATTGTCCTTTGATTCACATCCAAGTTTAAGTTGAAGATTTTTTCTCAACTTTCCTGAAAGGATCTTTGTTTCGCAACGGTTCATATGCCTTGAATATGAATAAATATGCAGATAATAACAATTCTTGAATTACCCATTCCATTGAACAAATCACCCAAAAGAGTATTAAATTGACTATCAGATGCGTTTCCAAAATTTTGAAGTGCAGGAGTATTATAAAACGCACAAAATGACGCAAGACCACCACTAAGAAATTTTTTAAGTGGATCTATCGGAAGTGTAACATAATTGAAACGTCCGTCCTTATTTTTTTGATTACGATCGGAGGGTCTTATTTTGATCGTAGAACCTAATAAAATAATAGTTACTACTATTTATTAGAAATTTTATTATCGAATTACTAAACTTCTTAATGTTTCAATATTTATAAACTAATAAATTCCTAGTAAAAAATAATTATTATTTAGTGATAATTAATATACAAAATTTTTACTAACTGCGTCATTCAATTGGTACATCGAAAGCGTATATGAAATTCACGGAGAATCTATAGAATGCACAAAAAATTAAATTCACACTCATTCTTACTAATAAAAAAATTCTAATTAATTCTCGCATTGTCAGTAAAATTCTGATATATTAATTGTAACTAACAAGTTAGTAATAATTATTATTTATTAACATTTATTAGTTAATAATTATTAAAAATCTCGTAATTTGGAATTTTAAAAAAATTAGTAAAATAATATAAAATTTTGATACCATCTATTATGAAAATAGGAGAATTCTCAAAAATATTCCTTGAACTTGTCTTCAACCAGCGGGCATCGGCTGTAATAATTTAGAAAATTTATTTGAGAAACTTATACGCTCAAATAGTAAAGGAACGGCCTTGGTTTATAAAAAAATTGTTCAATAATTCTATTATTAGGCTATTATTAATATGAATGAATATCTAAATAATAACAATTCTTTGAATTACCTTTTTCAATCACACTATCAGCCAATAGACGAATTAAACTAGCAAGAATAGTGTTTACAAAAACTTGAGCTTTGTTATCTTTGTTATTATTGAGAAATAGTTGAACTAGGCGATCAGCGGTCTTCATTGAATCTTTCTTGGAGCAGAGATCATTGAGATAAGCTGTAAAAAATTGGAAAATTTATTTGAGAAACTTATACCGCTCGAATAGAAAGGAACATAATTTGTTTGAAAAAAATAATAATTAATGAACCTTGAATTTCTTTATTTCCATAACCAGGACCACCTGTTATAATTTGAAAAATTTATTTGAGAAACGTATACCGCTCGAAAAGAAAGGAACAGTATTTGTATATAAAATAAATATTCAATGATTCTGTTACCGAATACCATGACCTTCAATATGAATGAAAATTCAGATATTCGTAATTCTTTTAATTACTTTCAATTATATTTTTCCAGTTCTCAAGCACACGACGAAAAAACTTTCTAACAGCCTCCTCACAAAGTTGTTTAGAAGATTTATTGGAACGCAATTCGTCAGCAACACATAATCCGGCAATCAGAAGAACGAAAACACAGAATTTCATTTTAAATTCTAATTTGACGGTTTCAACCAAAGGGTCCAACTGCAGTTGAACATTTAATAATTTTCTGATCAATTCCATCGTCTTTTATAAAAAAATTATCAAACGAAACCAACGATTTGAAATGATGTGGCCCAAAAATAAATAAATGTGTTTTAAAATTTGACAAGCATATTTTGAGCCGGACCTATTCGCCACTGTCGACAGCCAATGAAAACAATTCCGATACTTATTTACAAATGTCTGCACAAATAATCAGCAATTATTCAATTTTTTATTCCCAGGCAATAGGTTCCTTCGATAAAAAAATATAATCTGTTTGTCTCTCTGTGACACAGAGTCTGTATCCAAAAGATAGGTAAAAATAAATTAGACTATTTGCAAATCTCCAGACGACGCACATCCAGCCCATGCAAACAATACGGACTGTAATTGCAAATCTTCGTCGCGGCAATTTGATCATTTTAGATTTACTTTTAACATTTTTTGTGAAGAAATATTTTTCTCTATCGGTCTTCCAGATATGGAGAAAAATACATTTTCTTTTTATCGAATTTTTTTTTTATAGAAATATTGATTGCGTTCTACTGCAATAAACCTTTTATAATCTTCTTACAAAATGCAATGCTTATGAAGCAAATATACGTTTCTAGTGGGAAATAACGAGTGATTGATTGGTATGATTCAGAATAAACTCAATTGGATTTGTATGGGGGAAATTGTAACCGGGGAAAATATGAGCGGTCACCATTTGATTTTATATTTGATTCTAACTATCGGAATTGCTCTGTAATTACAAAATAGATCATGATCCTCTTTTTTGTAGTTCTGTGATTTAGTAGTATTTACAAGTCAGCTAGTTTTAATGTTTTTATCTGTTCTAAAAAATGAGTCATTTTTTTTCAAATCTGTTCACATCTGTATATTGTATAATCTATTTTCTACCAATAAGTCATGCAAAGTGTGGCTCTGATTTTGGGAATAACTGTTTATTGATGCGTCCTCGTTTTTTGTATTTGAATTAAAAAGTTTCCTTTTTGGAATGTTTTTGTTATGATTATTATTACGTAATTTTTTTTACTACATGCAATATACTGCTCTGTTTTTATCGTATGGAATCGTATGCGGTCAGAAGTTCAAGACCACAGAAAATAAGTATTTTTTGATTCTACTATGATTTAATTTCCGGATTAAATTATTCGATTTTTTTTACTTTTGCTCTTGAAATTACATATGAATAATCTTCTGATGTGAATAAAAAGAAATCAGGAAATGACGACAGAATGATGATAATGTAATCTCACTAGTTTACAGCTAATTAAAAGAACGTTTCACATTTTGAAAGTACACACATTGCAATATCTAGGGGCACCGAATGTCAAAAAATAAAGATTATTTCTACTTCTATGCAGTATTTGAAACTCTCGAAATCACTTTATTATGATTGTCATCTGCAAATAATATTCGGAAATCAAATTAAAGGCGCTTTTACAGTTTTGCTCCATGGACACTGGATTTTGAGAGAGCTCTCAAGTGAAAATGTCAAAATATTCATCACAATCTGTAGCATCTTTTATCATGGTGGAATCGGACTGAATGATTACAGATATTTGAATTTAAACGTAAATGTGGTGATCAAAAAAAGGAATAAGCCCGTAGCACAATATGCATGTACATGTAAATTTATCTTTATCAAAATTCAACCGAAATTTTACACTAAATTACGTCTAGATTAAAGTAGAAAATCAGAAGTATTGTATATTTCATTGCGAATAAAAGTATTTACATTCTTTAATAATTCGGACAAATTTCTGATTTATTACAGGCAACAAGAGTGTCTACAACCGCATTTAGACATTTTCCGCATTTCACAGTGCTGCATATCTTGATTGAATAAATCGAGAAGAGAGTATGTTATTCAGCGCTTATAGCTCAGTAATATCTGAATAAAAACATACTCTCCTCTCGATATTTTCAATAGATATAGAGGTATATAATCAACTAGAAACTCAATAAATTTATAGTTTGCAATGCATTAATTCGGCATTCAATCCACATTTTCATTCGCTGAATATGATACGTGTGAATTAGTTATTGAAATAAATTCAACAACAAAGGTAGTTTCAATTTGAGACAGTCACCAAGGCAACGTTTTGTTAACTTAAACGAATGTCTTTGTGGATTAAATTATTTACTTTTTCAAGAGTTTACTTTAGAAAACCAAAGCAAATGAGTAATCCAAATCTGTGCAATTTCAGATATATTCTTCAAATTCACTGAAGGCACTTCATCGACTGGAAGTCTGAGAACGGATATCTGCTTTATATACTGCAATCCGAAATGTTAATTTCATTATGCTGATAATTCCGAATAGGATTTGTTGAAAAAGAGTCTAGAAAAAGACGTTGAAAACAACATTGGAGATTGATTACAATTGCATTTCACTACAATATTGTACATATGTATATTTTTTTGTCGTAAAAAGTTTTCTCGTAAATAATTTTCTGGGTAATGAGTCATAAACGCTGATAATTCTGATGAAATCAAGAACAAAAAAATTCGAATCAAAGTGGACCCACGTCATTGCTTGTATTTATATGCATTTAAGTTTCAAAGCACATATTTATGTTCATATAAGCTATGACGTGTTCATGTAATAAATATGAAATTATCTAATTCTCAGTGACAATATTTCAGAAAATGAATGTAGACGAGCAAAACGTTGCACGAATTCTAAGGTATTATTTCATTCATACTCTCTTTCTACTCCAATAAGCACAAAAAAATAGAAATTAAAATGAAAATAGCTTATGTCGTCATTTCGATTTTTTTTGTGTATTTTTAGTGCCAGAAATCATTATCAAACATTGGATGTTGGCCAGAATGCCCCTGCCACCACAATTGAAACATCTTATAAAAGGATCGCATTACTCGTGCATACAGGTGCTCAATTTGGCATTAATTTTATGAAAAATACGTTTGATTTTGATTTCAGTTTTAATTTTAAATGTATATAGATAAAAACAAAGCACCTAGAGCCAAGGAGACGATGCAGAAGGTCAATGAAGCAAGGGAGGTTTTAAGTGATCCAGTAAAACGAATAGTTTACGATTACATTCCTTCGGGAATATTATTGAAGTTAATGATGTGCCTAACCCTAGGGCTAACCAGCACGAATTTGCACGATGAGTCCAACACATATGAACCTGAATCTGATTGTTCCAAATACGATTTTCTCAACGAACGCAATCATACACGTTGGTGGGAGGGTCATGTAAATGATTGCAAAGAATAATTTACATCTTACATTTAAAGATTCGAGCATATTTTTTCCCTACCATTTACAGATCGGCTTCTACATTATGGTTCTTCTTCCCATGATTCTATTGATCTTGGTACCATCGGCAATTTTAAGCTTGGAAGCGTTGTTTGCAACGCTTCCAATTTTTGGTTTGACACCAAACTCGTAAATATCCATATTTATGTTAAATTCAGAGTTTGAACTAATTTTTCTGACATTCTGACAGCAAATATGTAATTCCCAAACAAACCATGTCACAAAAGATTCCGTATTATGTCACTAAAAAATTTCAAGCCGAATTTAATGTTTATTATAATGGACATCGGAAAAATCTGGAAATAGACGCCAAAAAACGTATAAAATTCACGACTCGGAAAAATCCACGACTCGGCTTGCAAATATTCACGACCTATTGTATAAAATTCACGACTCGTATTGCGAAAAATCCAAGTTATTATTGCATAAGGCTACTCTTCTTCTTTTTTTATATGTATGTTAATACTGCTGGAATATAAGTTTGGTTTTACTTTTCCGCACACCTAGTGTAGGAAGGGTAGGTATTGTATTAGGCCAAAAAAATAAAGTCACCCCAAAACATGTTTTCTATGCATATTGCATGTAGAGTACCCACATTATCCATACATTTTTTGATCATTTTTTAACCATTTTGGTGACGCGATGGTTTCGTGCTTAGACATAAAATTCATAATCTGACTGATTGAGGACTACGAGTTATGAGCCAAACATCGAAAATTTTGTATGGAGGTAACTATATTTTTGATTGAAATTTCTTTAAACTTTATGAGATTATCTATATTGTTTAGAAAATAATATTCACAAGTTTTCAACGGCGAGTTAAGTTACTGCAACCAAACATAGACCATAATTTCAGTTTATTCCCAAAATTTCGGCTCCATGCGAAAAAGTCAGCTTGCGAACGTAAGCCTCTTTATTTAAAAAAATATACATACATACCATATAATATTGTTGCTGTGTTATACTCTACCTCGGCCCCTAACTAAAAAAAATAAAGAGTCAAAAATTCAGAAGAAGAAGCAGAAGAAAAAAAATGGGTGTACTACTACTATACTATGCACAGTTTATTTTGGTTTCTTGATCATGATTATTTATGATTATTGATTACATATAATAGTTGTCTTTAGCGCGATAAATTTTTATTCAATTTAATTCAATTAAACATTATTATATGTGTATTGTTTATGGGACTATAGTTATATAATATAACACACACACACATTAGTGTTGTGTTGTGTTGTAACAACAACACATTAGTCTCAATGTAAGTAACTTCATCATCATCATCAGTAAGTAAGTAAGTAAGTAAGTAAGTAAGTAAGTAAGTGAGTAAGTATAATAGTTATGTAATAATAATAATAATAATAATAATAATAATAATAATATGTATAGTATATAAATATATATAAAAATAATCAAACCCAATTAAGAGCAATATGATTATTAATTATTATTTTAACTACAATCAAAATCAATCACAGTAGTCGCCGCGCTCCCGCTGCTGCTGCTACTATATACTATGGCTTTTTCTGACTATTATTATTATTCTTTGGATTTTGATTTCGTTGTTGTCGTCGTTCTCTTTGTTGTCGTTGTTCTCGTTCTCGTTCTCGTTCTTGTCGTTCTTGTTGTTCTCGTTCTCGTTCTTGTTGTTCTTGTTGTTCTCGTTTACGGTTTCGTTTTTCGATCCAT